AAAAGTGTTCACGATATATTAAAACCAATATTGCTATTTTAATATAACTATATCAATTATTTGCTAAAAGTGCCTAAATATTTACACAAACGATTCAATATTTTTCATTGATTTTATTTTTACATTTTATGTTAACACTATAATTAATTTAATTGAAAAATTATACAAATTACACTTTTAATGAATCTAATCATACACTTTACTGTTGTTAAAAATTAAAATATGTTATTTAAATCTTTCGCAAATTTAGAAATATTTTTTTCATTCAAAACACAGTTTTTCACTCAAAGTTTATTGATTTATACACTTTTTAATATTTTCATCTTTTTATTCAACTGAAAGCAATTTATTTATCCAGTGTTTAGAGTAAATATCATTCAATTTAAGTGTTGATTGAATTCTAGATAAAAAGTTAACTCATGACTCAAAATTTATTATTTTTATCTGTAAGTTTGTTACAATATTATAATTTTTATTTGATGGCCACATTTATCACACACTTTGTTTATAAGTTAACGCAGTTTTATCGTTTAAGTGATAAATTATTTTTATTAATTCGTATTTAAAATGTAGAAATTTATATTAAATTAAACATAAATAACATTAAAATTCAGATATAGTTTTTATTTAATATGTAAAATATGTGAAAATGATACTCAATTATAAATAGCAGTGTAATAATTTGTAAAATATTCCACAAAACACTTACGATTTTGTGATGAATTTGAAGTGAAATGAAATACTTTTAAAGTATAATTACTAAAAAGTTAATATATTTTGCGAGGAAACTGATATTAGCATAAAGTGGAAATAAAAATGATTTTAATGAAGACTTTTATTCATAAAGCGAGTGAAAAAGCTTTCAATAAATTGTTGCCTCAGTTATAGTTTTTTGGGATAAATGTCTCAACGAATGGTAGGTTCTGTTGGCATGTATTGCGTCAATGATTGGCCACAGAATCCGTAGGATAGACACGGAATCCACAGAATCCACAGAATCTACAGAATCGAGCGCTCAGTTCTCTGTAGGAGTTGTCGCTATAGTCTGTGCTCACGATTACGTCAGTCGTGTCTCACAATTAGTTGATTTAAAAGACTAGAAAACTAACTGTAATTACGATTTTATTCAAAACATTCAAACTTTATTCAAGTTGTTTGGTGCCGAACCCCATCCAGAATCCCAGTGTTTGCTTGAGAATCAATACTACAGTATAAGTAAGAAATTAAAATAAGACTTTGGGTTTGCTTTTGCATTACATTAGCGCTTAATGACAAAGATATAGAAGTTTTTTATTTGATGTCTCCGTTATTTACATAAAAACCTCTGTAAGTGTGAGGTTTATGTTGAGTAAAATGTGTACGAAAACAAGACTTTTTGCAAAATACAAACAAAACTGAATGTGAATTATATATTCAATTCTTTAATTTTTTGCACTTTTATTAAACTCAGTGTTTTCTAGTAAAACAAACTTTTTCATGTTGGCTAAGTTCACTTATTAATTAATACAGTACTGTGTTATGAAAACGGATTTACATTTTATTTGAATAAATGAGTTCTTTATCTATATTTTAAATGGGAAACGAGTGTTATTTTATTTTCTTATATAACTTAATTGAATATTAAAAATAAACAATTTTTTAAATTTGAGATAAAATACATTTTAAATTATAGCATAAAGTGTGCGCAATTTGAAATGGTAATAAACTTCATAATGTAATTTTATTTTTTGAAATACAAAAATATGTAAACATAATTACAAATATCAGATTTATTTAAATGAGTGTCATTAGTTCTAATAAAAATAAATTATAATGAAATTAGTATGCTTTAATGTAATAAAAATAAAATTATTTTGAACTGTAAATAACTGTCTACGAATTATTTTTACTTAACTAAACAACAAAAAAAATGCAAAAAATAGTTTTTTATTTAAATAACAAGTCTAAGAGAAATATTGACCAAATAATCATAACTAAACAAATATCCGCCAAAAGTCTTAGAGAAATAATAAAAAATATTTTCATTTCCACGTATTTTCATAAGATTTCTGTTCATATATATAAGTATTATTTTATTAAAAATCATTTCCAATTAAATAAAGAGATTTTTGGTTTATTTTTATCATTTAAATGTCCAAAAGGTATTTTTGTGAGAGTTTAGTATTGATTGTTTTTACTTAAATGTATTTTTAAAAGTTCAATTCAATGTCAGATCTGGTTTTTATAATTATTCTGGATTTAGTAAATAATTTGATAAATTACTACAAAGGTCATTGGAATATTTTGTACTTAAATGATTTAATTCATAGGATTTCAAATAGATTTTTATTGCTAAAATTTAAAATTAGAATCTGGAACATTTTAACCTATTAGGTTCTATATTATAGAATCTATAATGTAATTTTTTGCCTGACATTTTAAGATAATTAAACAATTAGATTAATTTAATTTAAATTTAAATTAAAGTAAACCAAAAATTAGCAATATCCAAAAATTAAATCACTAAAATCTAGTGACTAGATATTAATTATTGCTATTTTGACGTAATTGAATATTTTTTTCACACACTATTTACACCGGTAGTTTATTTTTAATATTATAACATTGTTTGAATGTCTATTTTTATTATTTAAAACTCAGTACTCAATTGAAAAATAGTAGAATTTAATCAACACTTAAATTGAATGATATTTACTCTAAACACTGGATAAATAAATTGCTTTCAGTTGAATAAAAAGATGAAAATATTAAAAAGTGTATAAATCAATAAACTTTGAGTGAAATACTGTTTTGAATGAAAAAAATATTTTTAAATTTGCGAAAGATTTAAATAACATATTTAAATTTTTAACAACATATAGTAAAGTGTATGATTAGAGTCATTAAAAGTGTAATTTGTATAATTTTTCAATTAAATTAATTATAGTGTTAACATAAAAGGTAAAAATAAAATCAATGAAAAATATTGAATCGTTTGTGTAAATATTTAGCCACTTTTAGCAAATAATTGATATAGTTATATTAAAATAGCAATATTGGTTTTAATATATCGTGAACACTTTTTCTTATTACTCTTATTTCGTTTGACAATAACTTAATTAAAACACGAAGTGATCGATGTTTTTACACTCAGATATAACTGTAAGAAAAATGATAGTAAAATATAGATTTGCAGATAAAATAATTATGTTTTTTTGGTCAAACACCACATCGATCACTGCCTACTGTTTGTCTTTAATGTTGTAAATCTACAAATATTATTTTGGTCGCCTTTTTTGTTAACTTATCTCAAAATTTATTGATTTTACTAAAAGTGGTTTTTGAATAAACAATATATGTATCACTTTATAAATATGAAGTCAAAAAGTCTAAATTCAGAGTTGAAATACTGTTTTGAATGAAAAAAATATTTTTAAATTTGCGAAAGATTTAAATAACATATTTAAATTTTTAACAACATATAGTAAAGTGTATGATTAGAGTCATTAAAAGTGTAATTTGTATAATTTTTCAATTAAATTAATTATAGTGTTAACATAAAAGGTAAAAATAAAATCAATGAAAAATATTGAATCGTTTGTGTAAATATTTAGGCACTTTTAGCAAATAATTGATATAGTTATATTAAAATAGCAATATTGGTTTTAATATATCGTGAACACTTTTTTCTTACTACTCTTATTTCGTTTGACAATAACTTAATTAAAACACGAAGTGATCGATGTTTTTACACTCAGATATAACTGTAAGAAAAATGATAGTAAAATATAGATTTGCAGATAAAATAATTATGTTTTTTTGGTCAAACACCACATCGATCACTGCCTACTGTTTGTCTTTAATGTTGTAAATCTACAAATATTATTTTGGTCGCCTTTTTTGTTAACTTATCTCAAAATTTATTGATTTTACTAAAAGTGGTTTTTGAATAAACAATATATGTATCACTTTATAAATATGAAGTCAAAAAGTCTAAATTCAGAGTTTTTCAATATTTATGATGTATTTTCATTTCATTTGAGAATCACGAGAATTCCCAACACCTCTTCCCACATACATTTACTTATGAATAATAAAAATTTTAATATTATTTCTTTTAAGATGTTAAGTTATTTTTTTATAAAAAAATATATATTTATCTGAAACCAAAACTTTATGTTTTAGTTTACACTTTAAAGTTATTAGAATATTCATTCAACTAAAATAAATTGTATTTATACCATACAATAGAATTGAATCCACTATAGTATACACAGTACTTAAGAATATAAAGTTTAAATATAGTAAATTTTTACATTTATTGTAGAATTATTTTAATATTAACATGGAACATTATGTTGAATCTAAATTTTATGATTAGTTAATGTTAAAAATAAATAAACAATAAATCATAAAAATTTTTATTTTATTCAAAACCTTGTATACAATTTGTAAATTATTCGAGAAATCCTGAATTATTATTATATTATAAGCTAATAAAATTAATATAAATATAAAGTACTGTAATATATTAAATTTTGGTCAGTATACATTTTGGTACATTTAATACCTCTCTAGAGATCAAACCCATAGAGCCATAGAGGTTAGAACCTATATCGTAGACTTCACAACAAATTCAGCTATAATTTGCTTACGAGTGAAAATATTTTTTGAATTATTAGAAGTTAGCAACTAAAACTTTTCAGTGTTTATAATTTATTATTACTGTATACAATTTTTGAATTACAAACATTATTATTATATTGAGATAAAAATTTTAAAAATCATATGATTTTAGTACTTAAAAATATATTATTTTCGATTATATTAGTGTAGTGTCCATGTGATTCAATAAAAATTTAATATATTTAACGAATCCGTACTAATTCTTAACAATTTTATTTTAAAAAATATATTTTACTTAATTAATTCATAATTTTAAATCAAATTTCAATAAAAATTTAATGAATGAAAACATAGAAAAATGTTTTTATTATCTATACACATAATTAATATCCCGGTTTTCATTCAATGAATAATTAATGTAATTATGAAATGTATTTCCAAAGAACATCTCATTTGAATCAAATATGAACTCAATATATGGCCGAGTATTGGGAAACCTATTGATATGGATTGCGATCGCAAATTTAATTATTATCTCAATGGTCGTCATCGCAGATAATGGTTTGTAGTTTTGTTTTAAAACTTATTTTTCTAATGAAATTGACAAGGAAATTCTTTAAAAAGATAACATTCAATGAGTTCTGTACGTAATTATAGCCTAAATCTTGATTTTAATTAGACTTTGAGAGAAGCCCTGCGAGTAAAACACAAGAATCGTATGAATACATGATTCCCTCAAACCTTTATTTGACGAAAAGGCTATCGGAATTCCTCGGTATATAAGACTTGTTACGAAGTCATTATAATTATATCAATAAAATTGGCAAATAATGAGCGAAAACTTTGATTTACAGGCGGACCCGGAAAGCGGTCCGATTATGACGACAACTATGTTTTAAGCAAAAGACTGTCAGAATTTCTCGGTTTGTTTTGCGTCAAAAATATTTGTAAACTTTTATATTTCTTATAATAAATGTGTGAAACAGGAGGTCCGGGAAAGAAACGTATGGTTCCCTCGCGATTTGGGGTCCAAAAGAAATACTCGGAATTCTTGGGTAATATTCCTATTGCTAACCAATTAAATGAATAACTTATTCGTGTGTTAATTAATCTATTGTTTCATTTTGTTGTTGTGTCTATCAGGTGGACCCGGAAAGTAGACTTTATTTAATTGAATGAATTAATCTTAATAAAAATCCATTGAAAATGCAAACACTTTTTTAAAAAGTTAAAACTACAATATTATTACACTGAACATACAAATATTGTAGATGAATATCAATAAAAATTGTTATTAAATAATGACATAAATTTGTTTAATTCTGTAGTAGACATCAGTTATTTATTTGTATAATTTGTTGTAATTTATTCAATGCAATCATTTATCTCGCCACTGAATATTAATATCCAATGCTATTTCTTAGACTTATTTAAATTATTTAAATAAAATAAAAATGTTTATAATAAATTATTTATTAAAAACGTGTGTGAACTTAATACCGAGTTAATCTCATTTTAATCAATAATACCCTCCATTGT